AGGTAAACTCCAACAATTTTATTTATTTAAATTTTATTTTTGTGTTGAGCGATTCTATTCCTATAATGCAATGAATTAAAGTTTCGATTTAAAAACTTGTATAAAATGGTGGTAGCAAGTGAGAACCATGTTTCTTTTTCTTTTATTTATTTGTTTCAAAAGTTATTTGTTTGTAATTAAATATTGTGGGTGGTTTTGCTGGTGTAAGAATAAAAAAAATTAGAAAAATTTTAATTTATATATACGGTGCTTGATCACATTGTCCAACTTTCAAATTAGACCACCATAGTAACCTTTCTACATACAGCAAGACCAAGCAAACAAAGGAGAGTTTCTTATCTAAAAAACCATGTAAAACACACTCAAAACTATGTCAAAAACTCTCGGCACGTGAATAATAGATCTGAGAGCAAATACATAGAGTGAAAAGCACTTTCAGATATGGTATAAGTTTCTTGGTAGCAGTTAGTAATTGAAAGTTAAATGCCCTCAATGTGTTTGACCATGACCCTGCACTGCCCCTGGCTGTGATAGAGCCACAAAGGTTGGCGATAACCCCCGCTCGCTGCTGCATAGTGCTTGGCTAACATCTATGGTCATTGACATAACATCAAACACTTTGGTTGCATATGAAGAAGTAGCAAACCAATATCATTATGGTGCCAGCATTCACACCACGAAACGGGATATTAAATTGCGCATACTAAGAATCTGTTTAGATTTAAATGAAACTTATCAGAAGTAAAAATGAACATATTATACATAATATATTTGGTACCTTTTGTTATGTCTAATATTATTTAGTTATAATTATCCAGTGTTTAAAAAAACGCCGAGTCAAACCGGACTCGCCCGGTTCGACTCGGGAATCGCCATGGACGGATTGAATCGGTGAAAAAAACGGGAATCGTCCGCTTCCAGAGAGAACCGGACGATTTTGTACAGTGACTCGCCGATTCACTGTATGGAATCGGCGAGTCCCGTAGGGAACCTTTTTTTTTTTTTTGTAACCCATGATAGAATTTTTTGTAATCCATGATCGAATGTTTTGTAATACATGATCGAAATGTTTGTTTTTTTTTGTAATTCATGATCGAAATGTTTATTTTTCTTTTTGTAATCCATGATCGAATTTTTTGTTTTTTGCTTTTTTTGTAACCCATGATAGAGTTTTTTGTAATCCATGATTGAATTTTTTGTAATCCATGATGGAATTGTTTTTTTCTTTTTTTGTAATCTACGATTGAATTTTTTGTTTTTTTTTTTTGTCTTTTTCGTAATCCATGATCGAATTTTATGTAATCCATGATCGAATTTTTTGTAATCCATGATTGAATTTTTTGAAAATTTGTGATTTTTTTTTTTTAATCCATGATCGAATTTTTTTTGTAATCCATGATAGAATTTTTTGAAAATTTGTGATTTTTTTTTTTAATCCATGATCGAATTTGTTTTTGTAATCCATGATAGAATTTTTTGAAAATTTGTGATTTTTTTTTTTTAATCCATGATCGATTTTTTTTGAAAATTTGTTTTTTTTTTGTTTAATCCATATTATTCAAAGAGAAAATGAGAGAGATGATGATTT